GTATTCGGAAACATGCTTCGTAGCATATCCTCTCTTTCCACAAGAAAGTCCTCCGCACTAAGAGAATCGCTAATCCCCGTCTCGTTAACAAAGACCCGAGCAGCTTCTATAGCTTTCATACCCATCATCTTTGCCTTAAGTGACCAATCAAAAGTTTTATCATACCTTGCCAGTATTTTCTGTTGCACTTCAGTGTAAAACCCCTCAGTATCTGCAGCAGAAGGGTTACCAATTAGTTCACGAAAATTTAACAGAAAGTATATTTAGATCTAGGAGAAGAGTTTAAACTAAATCTCCTCACTGCCGAAGAGCAGATGGAACTGAAAACAACTACATGACATGCTAAGACCAAAAATTCATGCCCAGTCCATTCAAGAGCATCACAATTTCAAAATTGTACATAGTTTAGCAAGTAGAATGCAAGTTGCTAAGAAGCATCACTGAACAATATGCAAACATGATTAGCAGATGAAGATCCACAGCATATATACAGAAATGAGAGCATGGTACGAAAGGAAATGAAAAACGCAATAATGAGGGCGTGAAGAAGGGAAAGTTAAGATGATCAACGAATTTACCCAATAACAGGCCGTCCATATCAAAGATAATATGAGTGATAGATCCTCTGGAAGGGGCGTCGGAGGAAAGATTCGCCATTGAAACTGTTGTTGCAGTGCGATTGTGGAGAGGTTTGGATCTCGAATTGAGCAGGAAGTTCCGAAGAAGTCTATTGGGAGATGGGCTCTGCAAGAGTTGAAGCATCGCGCGTGTAGGCTTTATGCCAATATATTGTTGAGAAAAATGGCGTTAAAATATGATTTTTGTCTTTATATTTTTTTAATTTTATTCTTTCTGTATTTTAAAATATTCAATTTTAGTTGATATAGGATTGATAAATAATAAAATTAGTCCTTTAAACTAAATTAGTTAAATAATAACAATCATTTTCACAAATAAAATCCACCTTTATAAACAGGAAATTAATATAAATTATACATAAATATATTAAAGGAGTAAATAATATTTCTAGAAATATACATCAATATTAAAATGAAATATAAATACAATTAAGAAATTTTTTACTAAAATAGTTTTAAAAAAAAAAAAAATTAATATTTTGAATATCCATCCTTTCCACTAATATCTTATTTTAAATATCTAATTTAGGTTTTATTGAAGAAACTAAATACATAAAATAGGTTCCTTAGAAATCTTATACATAGCAAAAATAAAATAATGGAAGTAGGAAAGCCATATATTTGAAAAACCCAAGTGAAAGTAGAACTAGGAGAAGAATAATAGTGGTAAAAAGGGCAAAAATGAACGTCCCATTTTAACTTGAAGCGGGGGCAAACTTTGCATGGGAGGGTATTGGAATGCCCTTATTATAAAGTGTGTTGCAGCCATGTGAGATGAGAGTGAGTTTTGTTAGACCCAGGGTTACTGCAGAAGGCATGCTCTCAGTTCTACGTTTGGAGGTTCCCATCCAGATCTCAACATCAACCATCAATGGGATAAAGGCAGTTGTTTCAGTTGAGATTGGTCTATCTGAACAAGAGTGGACTCATTTCATCCTCTGCAAAACAATGAATCAAAACAGAATTGCACCATATTTACAACAACACAAGCACAAACAGACAGACAGGAGAATGGAAATCCTGAGGGCGAAGCGATTACTTCAGTTCTTGCACGCTCGACCTTACTACTGTTTGAAAGGAAGAACGTAATTCAGGTACGGCTGTTGAGCTCTCTTTCCACAAGAATATGATAGGAAAGCTATTAGGACAGAATTACTAGTAATAGGGTAGTAATGTGTGGATCTAAACCAGTCTAAATTAACTATCAGGCTTCGGCTTATCATAACTTGCATAAAGAGTGGTCTTTTAAATGTCTAGCGAGCAGAACTAAAGATCGAGCCCAAAGTCGTACCATCAACATATACCCAATGTAATATTTAAAACCTTCTTCAGTTAAGTTAGATAACGATAGACATGCATGAACTGATAGAAAAAGATTAGGGAAAGTATTACTGGGATTTCGCATCTATCTCTACAATTAGCAAGAAGCTCCTACCTCCTACAGAAGTTTCTAGTGATAGGTCAAACATAGTTCATTGGTGAAGCCCAAAGAATTCAGTGATGTACAATCATATTATACCAGGAACAACAAATCATGTGCTCATATAAATGAAAACAATGCAAAAAATGATAGACAACTTCAACTTACAAGCTAAGCTCATACAAACAAACCAAAAACACATACCTACGACCAAATAAAAATCAAACCATCTGCAAGAACAAATACCTTTAAAGACTTCAGTTGCATATATAGACTCCAGACTCAAATTTGTGCTCTGTCTCATAGAAGTCTGTCTTACCCTCCGTAGCCGGCCGTAAAGAAATCCCAGATAGTGACCTATAACTTTGAACTGAAAATTTCACATAACCAACCACTTCAAGTTCTTCTCCTTCATCTTCCTCGTTCTGATCCACAGGCATCCTAGCTCTCAATCGACCAGGAGAACCCTTCAAAGGAATCTCGGGAACATGCCATTTTAGTTCTTTTTCAGACCGATTCAATACAGCTTTTGGAGACACCTTTAACAATGTAGGATCAACAGGTAGTTTCAGAGTAAAAGTCACATCCTTCAAAGGAAATGGCAAATCAGGGTTCGCAGCATACTGAACCATCACTGAGAGTAAAGTCCCGCTATGACGTTGTATGAGACGAACTCTCAAAGGCAATGGGGTTAATCTAGGTAGCAAGCTATACTTGATAATTGGTATGGGCTCATTTACAGGTGCTGTTCGCACGTGAAACATTCCATTTCCAAGACTACTAACACGAGAACCCTGCACGACAAATCGTTTAACTGGAGCTGTATCCTCAACGCGAAAAGAAAACTCTGTTTCTTTGTCATCTGAGGTTTTAGTTGGCAAAGTTTTCAAATATATAACTCCCATCAATCCTACTCTTGCCAGCAGTGATTCCCTGAACTCTGCACTAATCTGTTCGACGATATACATTTCGGGACCCTTAATTTCAGTTTTAGTCACCAAATTCTCAAGTGGCGTTGCTGCACCACTAGCATCAGCAACAGCCGCTTTTGGATCACTTCCGGTCTGCAAGAGCTCCAACCCACCAAGACCCTCTGATTTCTTAACCTTCTCAGGACCTACGAACTCAGATGGATCCAATCCTCCACCCCAAGCATCACCGAAGCCCTCAAAAGTTTCTTCCATTGTAGCTTGATCAGTACTGAATTCTATACCACCATAATTTCCTTCGAATCCCTCAACACCAATATGAGTTGATTGAGTGGCCTCCGCAGGTGGCAATGTTGGCACCTCAAGACCCGCCAACACCATAGTCAAATCAGTAGCAGAAGGGTCCTTATTCTTCTTGAACCCGCTCACGAGCTCTTCAGGCTTGTTAATCATGTCACTTGCCGCAAATGGATCATGCTCAGCAGCGGGCTCCTCAGTCTTCTGCTGCTGCTGATCCTGTTGCTCATTTACACTCTGAGTGACAGGAGCAAGAGTTGCAGCTATTTCATCCCCAGCTTCGAGAGTCTCCGCGGGTAGCTCAAACCGCGCACTTGAAAATGCCTGCACATTGGCTTCATGCTCAATCGAGTGAACCTCCATGGCATTCCAACTATCAGCCCCACGAATCTTATTCTCTGTATCAAGGGCTGAATGAACCATCTTGGCAAGACCATCGGCGTGCATCGAAGAAAGCATTGCCGCAAGTCGAATATTGCTGACACCCCTTAGAACAATATCCAACGCCATGTAAATCTCGGCGTATTTCCGGCTAAGCTTCTCAGGTGTGACATCAACACCACGACAGGCCGTAACAACGACGCTGACAGCTTGGTTTACAATATGGATACACTCAAAGACATTAACAGAATTATCTTGATCGGCAGTGGTGATGCCGAGGACATAGATGCCATTGACGAGGCGATAGACAACTCGGTAGCGGCTCTCCACACCGACAATAACCTGACCATTAGAGGCAGCCAAAGGATCATCACCAAGTGAGGCAATAGAATCGGCGAGCGAGGAATCATCACCAAGGACGGTCGATGCGTGGTGGCTCTGGTGCTTGGTGACAGCGAAGGCCAATCGCATCTGACGGAAGGAGGATAGGGCAACTAGCGCTCGCGGGGGAGGGAACCATTCGCGAGTTTGTAGGAGGATATCGGATCCATTAGCAGGTTGCAGAGCAAGGGCTAAACAGGAGGACATGGTGGAATGATGGATCCAGATCTGATAGCAATTGATCCAAGGCCTTTAAAGGAGGGGATGGACTGTAATCCCTGGTTCTAACTTCTAGGGTTCTGAGGTCGAATTTGTAAGCAGAAATGAAAACAATAACATACTTGGAAGGGGATGATCTTGAAGTGCGGCTTCTTTAAGCTCGTTGAATAGCGTCTCCGACGAAGCGAAATCGCAGTTGGTGCCGAGATCGATCAGAATTCAGAAAGAACTCGGAAACGGAAACTCAGAGTTGAGAGCGAGTGAATGGTACGACAGATTTCTGATTTGGGCTTCTCAACTGGAATTTGAGCTGATGGGGCCGTGGCGGCGGAGCCTACAAATTTGCATCTTTCAGCTGGGCTCTACGTATATGTACACATTTCCTACTCAACAAAATTCTTATTTTACATAAACAAAAGTTGAGAGAAAATTCCTTCCTCAAAGGAGAGGCTAGGAGAGAGGCTAAGAGAGGCTACAGTGCCAATTATCAATTCTACTAATCATTGCTTGATCATTTATAAAAGCCACGCAGTTCATGAACTATGATCACGTTTCATTTGAATCCTCCATAGTTGAGGCTTTGGTGCACAGAAATTCTGGGTAATTGGCAAGCAGGTAGGATATGGTTGATTTGAAAAATAATGCAACGAGAAATTGATTGAACTTGATGGTATTTATATGAATAGAGAAAAAACCTTCTCCTTCCACCTAAGGAAGTTGTATTTAAAGAGAGAATTTTGACAGGAAAGCATCAATCTTTGGTTTCCCAGTAGAATCCCTGAAGACATAATAGACAGACAAGCACAGTTCTATACGAGATTCTTTTGCAGCTTGTGGTTTTAGACACACTGTAGTAAATCGTACAATATCTCTATTAATTATATCCTAATTCTTGTTGCCTTTTCACTTTGTTCATAGCAACAGAAATACAATAGGCCTTCTTCTTCTTCTTCATCTTCAATCCTCTGAAAACACCTTCATTTCTCCAGAGCGTTGAGATCTAAATCTGTAGTGACCGCTGCATACAAAAGGAAAACCAAATTCAGAACTGCCCCAACCAAATGGTATGGTATGGTATGGTATGGTATACACACACCTCATAGATTTAAAAAGTATACTATCAACCAATATCAGATACTAACATCATACGCATTCACTTCCAAAGAAAAAGATGTGCATAAGGCAAACGAAGAGAGGAGAAAGAAGGTGAGCGGCAATGGTGATAGCAGTAGGCCGTGACGGCCAGGAGGAGGAAGAAAGGAGAAAAAAGACAGAAAAGAACAATGAGACATTTAAACAGAAATAGGCATTCACTTTGTAAATTCGTCATCCCAATAATTGACGGCCTCATTAAACTTCCTAAGATGTGCATAACGTACCGACTCAAAGCTTTTATTTCCATTTGCAATTCAAGTAATGAGGCATTTAAACAGGAGGAGGTACCTGAAATATTGTAGATGTCTCCTACAGGACCGTCAAGTTGAATAAAGTACAAAAGGCACTGCACAAGGTGGGAGAACAAGGCAGGTAAGAAAAATACCACAACAACCCTCAAACATTTTCTCAGACATATTATTCTACCATGATATCAAAATGCATCACACCACAAGTATTACGAATTTCTGAGTACAACGAGAAAACTCCACACATCTCTTGCAAGGTTTTTCTCAGAGAAATTATGCAAGTTAGAAGTCTATATGCTGTTATTAATAGTATCCTTTCATCATGCTCCCTATGTCGGCTAGACTCCTTGACTTTTAAAATGCATGCTCTAGCTTCTGAGGAACTTACCCAACAAAAAAATAGTTAACATCAGAGCAAGTGTAAGTTGAACTGAGCAACCACGCTGTAGATTCCTTGAACTCTGGAATTGTCTGCGGCCCAAAAACCTAGCAAAGAGCTAGCAAAACAAAAATATGAAATATCCATTAGCGACCTCCCGATTGCAGTCGCATTCAAATAAAACAAATGGGCCTCATTACCAGTGTCAAACATTAGTAGCGTTCGCTTTTCATGCTCGTAAAAGTTCACTATGTAGTATTACTTCTCCAAACGAGAGAAAAATCTACCTGATTGTATGCATGACCAGCAACCTTTGCTGGAAGAAACTCCCGCCCAATTTGCCTCCAGAGGATTGTTCTAGATCCTTTATCTTTAGGTGTGGCCTCGACAGTTGGAATTGGGTTTATACACTCATCCTCATCAGGAATAGCAATTGTCATAGAACCAAAGTTAGGTGAACTCCACACTCTCCTAGCATTGGCCATCCTTTCTGGATGGCTTACAACATCTTCCCCTGCACGTGAAATTACATTTTGAGTTTCTTCGACTTTATCGCCAATATCTAGGCTGCTCTGATTACTGCTTTCTTCTCGTCTTTTACTATAAGTCTCATGAGTAGATTCTTCAAAAGAAGGCATAGGTTCCAAAATTTCATCTTTTGGACCTCGTATAGTAGCAGTTGTCCCAGAGAGAAATGCAGCTAAATCATCACATTCTTCCTCATTAAGGTTTACCCATTTAAGGGGTTGCTTGCCTTCCTCAACAAAATATTCACGTAATGATTCCTCAACACAAAATATTTGGTTTTCAATGGCGTCAATGAATTGTCTATGTCTTTCCAGCTTAGTATCATCCCCATGGTGTCTGTAGCTCAACCGGACAGCCTTCTCAAACTCTTCTAACTAAACATGCATCCAGAGTTGACATGTATAAGTATCAATGCAAATGAGTTCAAAGACAAGGGAATTGAAGGAGAAAACCAGTGTTCGCCAGTTAATTGGGGTGTCATACAGAATAAAAATTTAAGAAACAAGGTGCTGAATATAAGAGAAGATAAACCTAAAACAAATCTGTGTCTGTGTCATAGTTGTCAACATACGAGGTAGGAATGTCTGAGACTTTCAACTTCGGAAATAGAAATGAATCAATTACGTACAGAATATTAATCACCTGCCATTTGGTTGTTCCCAAAGCAGTTCGCAACTCCCTGGTAAATGCATCCAAATCATCTACCATTAACCTTGCTTTTCTCTCTCTTAACCATGTCCTATATATTGATTCCAATCTGACATTTATATAGAAGAAACATGAGAGAATTCAAACCAATCAGATTTGATCTTGCGGAAAAGAACAAGTATAACATTGTTACAATATAATTTTATCTAACAAAGTGATAACCGGAGGAACGATCAATAGTAGATTCAACTCATCGACAAGAGAGACAAAGCGGAAGTGATGAAAAGAAATACAAAATCTAAAAGCACAGATAGAGATGAAGTTATTGCTATTAGTTATTATTCGAGCAGGAGCAGGAGCAGGAGAGAGATTTTTATTCGCACACATATATAAGGAACTTTGAATGAGACACATGAAAGAAAACAAAGGGGCCAAGAAAGTCCATCCAGAACGGATATGACATAAAAGAATCTTAGAATCAAAAGTAAAAGATAGTTATGAAACAAATTTGAATTAAGAACCCATAAGAAGCGTTGGAATATATCACCCCAAATATTGTCCCACAACTTATGAATCCCTAATCTCAATCTCTGAACAACATACAAACTCAAACTTTAGGATAAACGACTATGTGCTCTCAATGAGAAAGGGCATGCCACACATCATTATTCAAATTCTCCGCCCCGCCACTGTAAAACACGCCAATTGTGGCCTTAGACACGAAAGAAGGCTCTCAGCAAAACTTCAATGGTGATAATCCTTAACAAATCCACTAGCCAAGCCAAGAACCTGACTATGCGTTCTCTTTGTAAGACTGCGCATCATTTCATCAGCTATTGACATCAAATACGACGGTACCAATATGAAAACAGCTCGAACTAGTCTGCAACATATCCGATTGCTTAACCATCCTCCCCCTCCAACGTTTTGAACTTCATGAAATATCATAGTCAAATCATGAAGTTCTCCAACATCAATAAAAAACTACTTAGCATCTTCCTTCCCCTTTCCACTTCCTGACTTCACTCTCTCAATAACATAACAAACAACGATTCCAAGGCATAACCATATACCAATTGAATCGAAACAAGAATGACCCAAAAAGGAATATGCAGGTACAAGAACACGATTTGAAGAATTATTAGAGCAAAAGCCAGGAAACCAAAGAAATTTATGGTGGATGGAACGCGCAGTTTAAAAGCCAAGACCATTAATAAATTCTTCACATCGGAATCAAATTATCATACCCACGTGATATCAAAGCAAGAAAAATGGAGAATTTCACGCACTCAAAAGCAATTTACAGAAAGGAAAATTAAATAAAATCAATCGAAAGATAGACCCCTTTTGTTCATGCTCAGAATACCCAAACCCTCGATGCAATACAGAACTCACATGTCGGCCGATTCTTGCACCTCCTCAGCGGCGGAAAAGAAAGCATCTTTCTGCCATAAATCAAAACTCCGTGCAACCAACATCTCAAACCGCGGCGGTAATCACTCATAAAATGGTCAACGATATGACGACAAGATCGTAGCCCGTGCGAGGCGCTGAATCGACCCACCAACAATTCAGAATTTCCGGGGATGAATAAATCGCAAGGCTTGAAACGAAAGAAAACGAAGGAGAGGAAGAATCAAAATCGTATACTTCACTCCCTCCTTCCCTCTCCTCCGCTAATAAATTAAACAGAGAATTGAGAAAGAGAGAGATATAAAAGCGATTCCGTTCCTCTTTCACTTTCCCTTTCCCTTCCCCTTCGTCCTTCCTTTTCCTTTTCCTTTTCCTTTTCCTTTTCCTTTCAATCTTATTTGCAGAACTTGCAAGTTTTAATCCACTGCATTTCACCACGCCAGTTTCTATGACGTGGAAGCTTCCAATTGGCCATATATCCACGATCTAATCCTAACCGCTCGATCAACTCGGTTCGAATGCCCTAATCCATCTGAAAAAAGGAAACATCAAACATGGCGTCGGTTGTTGGAGAGGGAAGACGACAAGAAAGAGTGAGCTGCCGAATCTGTTCGGGCAGTTTGCGGTCACCTATTTCTCAGTTGACCGACCCATCCAGAATAAGCAGAGCCCAATAGCCAACCACCTGTAGTATTAAATTACAATAATTATCTCGTTAATAAAATATTTGGATTCTCTTTATTGCGTGACTTAATTGTGTGAAAGGGTTCGGTAATGAGTCAGCTAATTATTTATTTATTTTATTTTCCACTCAAATTGATTTTAATAATTGCGTGACTAATTATATGTACGGACTATCACGTGCTTCTCTAAGCCCAAGCCCAATATGTTCGAATCCAAAGTCCCCAATTTGAGAGTTGGGCCTAATTGGGCTAAACCAATTTTTTTTATTTTCTAGCTATATTATGTTTTTTTTTTTAATTTAAAATAATAATAAATAAATGAAAAGATATTCAAATTGAGGGATATGCTTCTGATCTTTGTGAGATAAGGATTATTTATTTTATTTGAAAACAAAGATTAAAAAAATGGGCACACTGTGCAGTGCAGTCAATTTTGAGGTATTAAATAAATAATATAAACAGAAACTCTCCAATTTCATACCTATTTCTTGTTTCTTTAACCGAATGTCACTTTGCAACTAGCTAGCTCCTAGCATCATCAAACTTTATTAATTTTAATTAAATCATTTAACCGGTTTCATTTTCCAAACTCTTATTAATTTTAAAATTTGTCCGTACTCTAAGTTGGATAGGTTGAGGCGAGAATCAGAGCATCAAACTCAAATCAACTCGAGCACAAATTTGCAAGTGAATGCTTAGCTGATTTGGAAGACACCGGAAAAGGAGACTATATCTTACAAAAGTATGCATTTTAGATATCATAAACAGTGCTTAGTAAGAATAATAATAATAATAATAGGGCACCATAATTGAAGGGAGAAAATGGGGGTTAATGGTGGGGTGGGTCTGTGGGAGGAAACTGAGTGGCACATTAAGTGTTTGTTTTAATGTCTGAATGAAAAAGAAGGGCTTTAAAAGTAACGTGGCTGCTGGGAAATCACATATATGAATTATTATATAACTTTATTGTTCTTCTTCTTCTTCTGCGTACGGGCGGTGGGTTTTTTAGATGTCATATGCGACTGATAAGAGATCATCAATGCTTTTCTCCTTCCTCTAATTTCTTATTTCTTCGCTATAATCATAATGTTTTTGTCTCTTCCTATCCCACCACATCTTTCCCTATCCAAATTATCCTCCCCTCTTCCATATCCTATTTTCCCTAAATTAATTATTTACAATTATTCTCAATTAAACAATTAAAGCATAATTATTAAAGGTATAACATTATTAAATGATGTCTCCACAGAAGGAAACCGCATACCATGAGTACAAAAAAGGCTAGAATCGTAAAGATATTGAGAGATATTTTAATTTTCCATTTAACATTTTACCATAAAATTTTTACGATGGAGCCACCGAAAATGAATGTACACATTATGTGGTATAGATAGGTCGGATGTAACTATTCGTTCATGAACTTCTCGTCGAGACTTCAAATTTATTTTTATCCATTTTATGATGAATTTTATATCTCAAACATATTCTCATAACTCATTAATACAATAATAATTAACTCTTTATCGGCTATTAAGTTCTTTTTTATTTTGAAAAGTTGTAGATTTGAAAATACTACCATTTATTTATAAGTTAAAATATTAAAAAAAAAACATATATATATATGATACTAGTGATCGAAGATTTAATTTAATGAATTGTGGGAAATAGTGAGTATAATAATATAATGAAATAAATATTCCCTTTTGAAAGATGGAGAGTAAAATAAAATTTTGATTTTGGATTGCAAAAAGTATATATATATATATATATATATATATAAAAACATAGAAAATGAGGAGGATGTGAAAGGATTGGAAGAATATAAATTCACATTCTTTTTTCTTTTTTTAAATGAAAAAAGAAATTAAGAAATTCACATGGAAAAGACAGAAAAAGCCAGAGCTGAGTCAGCTGTCAGTTGTCACCACGTAGGCCAGAGATCTACTCTACTCGACTCAACCCATGAAATATTTCCTTTTCTCATAACTCAACGTCAAAATCACCACCTAAGAAATAAAATAATAAATTAATTATGTTAAAAATAACTCATGTCGTCTCATGAGTGCTCCTTTTCGGCATCTAAATCCTCTTTTTCCTTTTTTTTTTTTTTTTTTTTTTTTTTTTTTTTTTTTTTTTTTTTTTTTTT